ACTCCAAAATGTTTGTAGTATCTGTAAAAAGAGTTTTAGCTCAAGTGGATATATTGCGGCTGAGAAAGCGAGCCGATAAGCAGGACCATTTTTAGCCCTTGCGACCTTAGTATGTTATAGAAGAAAGAATCCGAGAATGTTGGCACTACGATTTTGCTCTACTTATTGAGTTTTATCTGTCCTAAAAATTATAAAATTTTCTGATGCACCGATCTCCAAAAGTGTCGAAAATGTTAGGAAAGTCTCCTCGAAGTGAGAGTAGTGGTTCTTTGAGGGAACAGCTAATGTCTGAAGGAATGAAAGAGGTTTTTGTAGCTGCTGTTGTTCTTGAAGATGAAAATGGCTATAGAGATTCAGCAGCTTCGTCTATTGAATAAAAGGCTGTTTAATCTGATTCTGTTACTTGCGAGAATTCATCAATGGTCGAAGTATAAGTATGAAATTTGTTTTTCGGGAAGAATGAGCCAGAAAACGACTCAATAGTATCACGTTTGGTCTCTTTATCGTCAGGTTATATTTAACAAGAACTCTGCCTTTTTCTTACGAGAATCACGAAGATGTTGCTGCATGTCACTTGTAAAATGCATACGTAAGGCAACAAATCATATGTGAAATGATAATCTATCAATCATTACTGTCACTATAGACGTCTCTCTATTTTGAGAGACAAGTTACGATTGACAATATGTCCAATCGGTTTAGTCAAAATTGAAGAAAAAAAGTAGGGGGTGCAAATATCTTGTGGTTTTTGACTTTTATCGTTCAAAACAAAATTGCTTTTTTTTAAATGATTGGTGGTCGGGTAAACAGTCCTGGTGATTGGACGCCGCCCAATCATACCCTATCTTGGTTACGCCACTAATTATATACTGAAATATAATAATCAAATAGTCACACCTGTTCCGGTTCATTTAGTCTACGTAAAGCTGTTGGTTTTGAATTTTCCATTGATTTTCTTTTTCGATTTGTTTTGCTTGGTTTTGAAAACGAACATCGAATCAATTCAATCTGCATTCCACTATCAAAACATTTGACTAGTCGACAATAAGAACATACATGACGATTATTTATATTTATTTCACAATGGCCATCATAGGGACATTTCAGTGTTTCCTAGAAACAAAAAAGAACAAATGAATACATTTAAAAGAAAAAGTGTATTTTTCATATAGACTTTTCCACTTTGAGCAGTTCGTTTGAAAAACATTTTGCATGGATGACATGAAACTATGCCAAAATATGAATATTTAGCAGGAGCTCCACAAATTTTACATTCAGCTTGTGCTATTGTTGACCATTGTTTATTGTTTGTAGAATTATTTGACGATGAGTTTTTCATTGTCAATAGACGTTTTTTTTTTATTTGATTAAGTCTAAAAGAAAATGAACAAACCATATTAGAATTAGAATTTTCAAGAAAGAACTCGAAATTTTACCAACTAATAATTAGAACTGTGAAGAGTGATAAAATTATTGTCAACAACACGATTATTTTCTTTAGAATATTTTTGATTATCTTTGATCAAAACCATGATTCTTATGGTAGTTCTATACTTATTTTATCAATATTATACACAAACCATTGCATAGATGAAACACAAGGTGAACGAGAACAGAAAAGAAAAAAAAGAAAAAAGATTCTTTTTACTTTCTTCCTGTAAAGAAAAACGCAGATTGTCGATAAGTATGCACATAATGATGGTTGGGATGAAAGAAACATGTGTTCCTTATTCAATCTTTTTTATTTTACAAATAATTGAAGTTTAACTTAACATTAAATTAAGTTTGAATGTGTTGACGTCCGATAAATAAATACAAAAAAATTCAGAGGAATAATAATTGCTGAAGACAAGTTGATTTTCTTTTCCACCTTTTTTTTTCATTAGACTCAAACGTATTCTCTTGTGTTCGCATACGCACATAAACCTAGGGTACACACATTTCATCACGTGTCGAGCACGTGACCATTATGCCTAGAATACCAAAATATCTTGGAGTTATAATCTATTATCATTACCATGAGTAATCATCAAGATGAATCAATTTCTTCAATTATATATGGCAAAAACAGAGTACGAGTAATTTGTAGTAAACAGAAGAACCTCAAGTCCACTTTTATCATAGCTACATGTTAGGTAGTGGTATATATATTCTTTACTCTACTATCTTTGTTGTTCTCTTTCTTTTCTATACTTATATGTTATATGTTGTTCTTGCCCTTGGATTATTTCTTTGTTCTCTTCGTTGGACTTTTTCTTTTCTGTTTTTCAGATATATAAGAGAATTCCTTTTTTTTCTGTTATTCATCATCTATGAGATTTTTCAACTCATGGATCCTTCCCGTCATTGTGTCTATAGATATACATATATAGTTGTCATTGAATTTTAAAAAGAGAAGAATAAAGAAAACGGAAGTGAAAGCTAAACCTAACACTACACTCTACATTCTTCAGTTTCAATGAAAATATCTTTTCGATTTTCACCTGACCTGTACAATGATTGAAATAAACATTCACAGCAACAGCCCAGCCAGATATTGCAACGGGAACATCGTATTAAAATAGTTCGAAGAGTAATAAAAATAATGATGAAGAACTGTCATAAAAAAGCCAAAAGATGGATGCTGTAAAAATCATTAACATGATCCCTTTGAACTAAACGGAAATGGTTTAAAAGATGACATTTTAATGTCTAACACAACATTCATTTTCTCGGCATTTTTTGTAACAGTTTTTACCATTATTTTTACTACTTGCTGGGTTATTATAATGCCCTTTCCAATTGCAACATCTTTTTCAGTATCTTTGGTGCTATCTCAAATATTTCATGTAAAAAATAATACTTCAATTTATGATGCACTCTAAAAAATTCACTTAAAAGTATTTCAATTTTCCTCAGATCTACAACAAAGGGCTGTTGTGTAGAATGACAGCTTCTTTTTTCAAAATATCATTTTTTATCTAAGTAGTGATTTCGTTGACGCTTGAATGAAAATCCTATCCAATTGTCTAAAGTACAATGATATTCACTCATGCTTCAGCATCATTTCTTTTGTTTCGTATCGGTCGTAAACATCGGATGAAATTGAGTACGCAAGATAAAATATTATTATGTTGATTATTTTCATTAAGGGTATTAATTTTCTAATCGCATCATGACCTTATCAGAAGAGTGTTCTGATTAATACCTCGAATCAGTCTCTTATAAACTAATTTTCTCTTAATGAATTGCTTTAACTATTTATGTTGACTATTTGGTGAAATAAAAATACAAAATACTCATAACGTGTTATGGAAATGTTCACAAAAAAGAATATTTTGTGTCCTCCACTCGATTTTATGAGCTTCGTATATTAAAAATGATTGGAATTGGTGGATCAGATACACTATTCTATAGTTTCAGAGAAAGTCTTCCCGTGAAAATGAAAACAGGGGTAACTTTATCTATGAACATAAGAAATCGTTAAAAATATAGAAAGAGTTATTATTTTTATGTCGTTCATTAGGTTACTGATTTCTCAACCTTCTTAATGGGTGCTATAGAAATGAGAACTAATATGATTATTTTTGGAACCTTTTGCAGAATTATGAAGCCAGAATGTGGCAAAATAATTATGCGTTTGTCTTGAATAGATACGATGCAAACTCTAGGAAATACTTTAAATTATAAAGAGTAGCATATACTGATCTAAATAAATTATGACAGCAGTTTTTTCAATTTAATTGAAACAACATTGTCAACCAGATCTTATAATCATATCAGAAGAAGAACGCGAAGATACCTAATGTATACTAAAATATCAGTAAGGGCTACAGCAACCGCCTAAACAAGAAGGAACGGAACATCTCGAAAAATATTTAATCAGTAAATGGATGATAATGCTATACACTAAATATTCTAAAAGCGCAAATAATCTTTTATCTTTTTTCTTCTTCCTACAAATATCATACATATTTTATTCAATGTATCCTCTATATAATGACTATTAGAATACTTTTTTTATTTATGTCAACCGCTGATGTAAGTTACTCGCCAACATGCAGAAATTAATTAAAATAGACTTGAAACATATCTCACAATTTTATTCGAAATAGCGCATGAAAGAAATTTGTTCATTTTGTAGTGAACTACTATAGTTTATGACTGATGTGTCAGAATGTATTAAATTTTGTCAACGTCAAATATAATTGTAAGATATATTTCTCACGGTTAGTCTGAATAAATTGAAAAAACTTGAATTCTTGTTCATTTGATACAGACAGATGTGAAAGAAGAGACGAACCGCACTGCTCAATTTAACAAAATAATTCCTCTAAACAAAAAAATCTCAATCATCTAAAATTGCTGAAAATCAAAAAATCGTTTTTTTTTATAAATATTCTTTCGCCTATAGTGTTATGTTAAGTAAAGAGTTGAGTAACATATTACAACTAGATTATCTTCATTTTAAATTAGTCAAATCACGTTCCTTTCTTCATGTCTCCATCAGGTCATGTACACTCTAGAGAAATAAAACAGTATTATCTTTCTTTTAAATCAGCACCCATGCACACTAAACAGTTAATTCACCAATCAAAGAATAGCGGGCGCCTCTACAATGATGATGAAGTATATAATATCAAGTGTTGTTTCGATAAAATATGTCGCTATTGTACTGTTAACTTTTCGTTAAAGCACCAGTAATTAAATATACAAAAATTAGGGCTCCTGTTGATTGAGTAACTCACGAGTATTGTAATGCAATACAATGCTTAGTCATGCAGTGACAACAAAAAAACTCAACTATTTAGAAAAATTTATTGATTTCCGTCTGTGATGACTTCAACTAAGAACATGAGGATTGACAGAGAGGCAAATAATTGAATTCTGCCAGACAGAAAAATGTAAAGTCTTCGAGAGTGCTAGAAATAAGACAATAAAAAAAAGATGAAATTTATAAATAGTTTATTAACATAACTGTATTAACAAAAACAAATTACAAAGGATTTAAAAAAAAAAGAAGTTAGTGCTTCTCTTATTTCAGTTCCACCTGCAGTGTTAATGCAGCATGCTGATTTCTTATGGACCGGTTCAGAAATATTCCAACCCATATCTGCACCATCATTATCAGTAATGCAAATATTATGCAGAATTGTTGCAGCTTGAACGATTGTAATTGTATGACTTAAGTCAAATTCGATCTTTTTGTGTAGACAACGGAAGCGGGTTTTTAATAAGCCAAAGGCCCGCTCCACTGTACTTCTCCATCGGCTTAATCGATAATTAATTACTGAATGAGCATGAGGCATGTTTGGCCTCTGAGAATATGGTTTTAATAAAGTTGCGTGTAGAGCGAAAGCCGAGTCTGCAATCAAGTGCGATTGAATACGAATGTTGTTGATTATCATATAATGATTTGCATAAATCTGATTTTCAATAATTCGTGCTAAACTTGATCTACCATAAACGGAAGAATCGTTGCACCTTCCTGGTGCACCGATGTTTATATAAGTAAATTTTAATGAACTATTAACAGTAGCTAACATGATAATCGAGTGATACTTCTTATAATTATAATAGTCAACTTCAGCTCCTAAAAGTGGTTCAACACTCACATGAGTGCCGTCCAGTGAACCTGCACACATTGGACATCCATATTTTTGCAGAAAATCGTCCATAGTTTCTTGTATTTCTTCATTCGTACTTGGAAAATTAATGAAACTATGGAATAATGAATTTACTAAAGTATGGCAAAACTCATGTAAAATTAATGCAGCTGTTGTTTTACCAATGCCAAATAAATTTGCTATTGTGTGTAATTCACTGGTGGAGCCTAATGTATACAATGCACAAGCAATACGCTTCTGTACTGGTATAGCTTCACGAAGAATTGTATTCTTTTTTTCGACGTATAGTCCTATAAGTTGTACTATTTTGAGGAAGGTGGAACGTTCAACACGAAAATTATTCTTAAATTGTTTACTTGTCATATTAGGTACGATTTCCGTCCACCATTTATTATTCTTTTTATAAGACCATGCAAGACGAGTAATATTAAGCGGATCATTAACAAATAAAAATAAACAAGGGATAAGTTTGTCTCGAAGAATCAAGGTACGACGATATCGTCTTTGAAAACGTCGATATTCTAAACCGATATTTTCGATTTGACGATGTAAAAAGTGTTTTTTCAATAAATACATTTGAAGAACGCTTAATAATACATATTCATACATCTAGAAAGAAATAATAGAAGTGAAATTACTAGTCCAAAAAACAATAGTATAAGAATAGCTAATATCAAAAAATTTCATTAAGTTTAATATTGATAATGAAAAGTGAGGCTTGAAGAATTGCGTAAGCATCATCATTATATTTTTCAGGGGAGTATATGACAACATTGAAAAAAGAAAAGAAGTATGGGTGCTTTATAAGTGAATTTGTCAAAGCAAAAAATTAACAACAGTAAATATTTAATAAATAAAGAAATTTGCAGAAGTAAATAAGTAATTCATGAACAATTTATGATTAACAGGTACATAGAGCAGTTCATCGAGCTGAGTTTATGTTGTTCATAATATTTTTGAAAATATTTAAAAACTCTTTTTCATTATTAACGCTTTCTTCTTGGAGTCTTGTTTGCTTTTCCAAAAGTTCCAGTGCTTTCGCCTCGGAGCGAGACGCTACTTCATTTACGGTCTCAATTTTAGCAAGCATCTGTTGCATAAGTTCAATCCTGTTAGTAGAAAATTTTAAGAAATGCATTGCTTTACACAGCATTTATAAGTTTAGTTACTTTGTATCTGAACATTTCTTTTTCTTTGTACAAATCCTTTTCTTCATACTTGAACCAGGTTTCAAAGGTGTAATACTTTGTACTGCAGAAACATCATCTGAAATGCTTGCCGAATTACTCGAAAAAATATTTGTAGGACTTGCAATAGCTTCTATATCATTTCCCAAAGAAATCAATTCGTCAACTTCTTCACCGATTTGGGTTGAATTCAAATTAGATGCTTCCGCATTTTGAGCAGCTCCGACAAGTTGATTTTCTTCAAATTTCATCGAATCCAACAACAAGATATCATCAATAAAATATGTTGTATTCTAACGAATGGGGTGTGAGTAGGATCCTTTTCTTCATTCGCAGCCATTCACCCACACCATTACAGTCTCGCCAAATAATTCTACACACTAAAGATTGAAATCTAAAGTTTTGAAAATTTTTAATTTTCATCATTTTAAAAGCGAAGAACATTGCCAAAAAACATATCAACGGATATCGTTTTTTAAGGCGCTTCTCTGCGAATCTTCAAAAATAAAACTCAAGTCAATTCAATTAGATGTGACAGAGTTATTCGTGACATACTAATGGCACCATTATTCACTGTCAAACTATTAGTTTGATAGTGTGCATATTCTTGATGCTCCTTATGTATAAAAGTATGACTAGTCTAACACATACGAACGATATCACAACAAAATAATGCCGATTTTCTCTATCACTTTATGAATAAAGAAATTATTCACAAAAACACAAACGTATCAGCATTGAGTTTATCGAAATTCAGATAATTTGTATTCTATTTTACGCTGAATTTATTTCGAGCACAGTATCAATAGCCCTCAGGGGGAGTATCTAATGATTAATAATATATATATACTACCAATTGATTAGCTCTTGAAATGGAATTTCTCATCAGTAATCACATAGCCAAGCAACGTATAAAAGAGTCACGATCGTGAAAGAGAACATGATTCTACCAAAGTTTTCATTGATCCAGCACACAGTTATTCTCATGAAAGCTTTATTTGGTATACTGATTATATCTATGCTTGAGCATATCTCACTTAATGCTACTCTATTGGCCATCAATAGATCTCAATATGCAGTAACGAATAAATGTAAGTGCAGAAAACTGGAGATATTGAATCTCTGTTCATTTTAGTTAAATTCATCTAGGTCAAAGCGGAAATGTTTGAATGAGATTTTGAAATTCACCTGAAAATTGTGTTGAGCGTAATATTGTTCAGGCTGTATTATTTCCCCTGCCATTTGCTGACAAACCCAATGTATTGAATATTGAATTGATATACATAGGTGCTTTGTAAGCAAATTTAAAAGAGAAGCGTATAAGACACATTTGTACTTGTCGAATAGAATTTATAATTTGAGCGAATTTATTTTGTGTTATTTTTATTGCCTATCATGATTTATTAAATCTTCTTTATTCTTGTAATCCCTACTCTTTCTGATCATTTTGTTTAGAGGTCAAGATCGGGGCACACGCTTAGCTGTTAACAAGGAGGCCCTAACTCCGTTTGGATTCAATGTCCGCCTCACCTCATGGGATAATTCTATGACTCTTCAAGCATGCGCTGATTGGCTAGCCTGTCCCTGAAAATTGTAACTTCTCGGGATATTCTTTAGTTATCTGGACAATACCCAGAAATGATGGGTAAAACCTAAGATGTTATCAGATAAAAAGAAATAACTGAATCCTATTATTGTTTTTATTAATCTTATTGAAACTAAATCAATTAGAAAGATGTGAGTGTTGATAAAATAATCAACGACGGATCGACGGCAATGTTGAGCATTTTCTAGACTAGGTTCATGCGATTGAAGATCTTGTGGGAAACTTTTGCATTTCGAATAGTTCCATAGATTATCAGATAAACAATTTAATGAAATGATTCACAAGCACGACGAATATAAACCAGTGTCAAAAATAAAGATGATTTTTCCATAAAAATCAGCCGATCTATATTTCTCTGAGACAATGTTGCATGACTAGAGTCAATGTTTGACGTTCGAATACAGAGAAAACTTTAAGAAATCACTACTTCTCATCGCTACTTGGTGTGTTTTCTTCCAATGACCCCTATCGATCAACATAAAAAGTCATCCGCGTGTGTCACCATGTTATTAGCACTTTGGTTGGTTCTTTCTGTCTCGCGAGAGAAGGTTCCCAAACGTGAGTCTCAGTTTTGAATGGAATATATACCAGTTTGTCAAGCTCGACAAGCTGACTTTTGTGGTATATTCCGTTTTTCCTATAGAACGTCAACTGAGAACACCTGATCGATTTTACTAGTGAATTTCTTCACGTCGAAAAAGTTTCGAGATGCTCGCTAAAAGTTTGGAACTTAAAGGGGTACACAAAGTTTAAATGGTCATGTTAAAACAGACAATGCCACATGTGAATCTATTATTATATTATTTTAAGTGTACATTATACTTAACTTCTTGATACATAACGAAGTTTTCTCTCAGGACCGTTAAAGTATGTTTAAGCATAATAATTGCACAATTAATTTTTATAGCGCTAATGGCATTGGCTTTTACAAGGAAATACTGTTCTCCTACTCTGTTAAAATAATAAAATAATAGAGTATCACATATGGTATTGTCTATGCTTTGACATGACCATTTAAACTCTGGGCATTCTTTTAGTCCCTAATTTCTAACAACTATCTCGAAACTTATCCAAAGTGAAGAAATTCACTAGAAAAATCTATCAGTTTTTCCGATTTGACATTATATGGGGGGAAAACGAAACACACCACGAGAATCAATTCGTCGAGCTCTACAAACTGGTTTATATCCCATTCAAAGCTGAGACCCACTCTTGGAGGCCTTCCATCGTAAGTCTAATAAGAAATGTATCTACATTTCTGTTTTCTACCAGCAACTTTCGATCAGTTTCTATCATCAGTTTATAACCATATAAAATTTTTTATTTTTGCTTTCAATAATTTCTCCATACCTCGTACCTTTTTAAGTATAAAAAAATAAAAATATGAAAAAAGTCTTGCAGTAAGCATTATACTTGATTATTAGATATATTTAATAATAAAAGGAGAAAAATAAAGTGAAACTAGAGAGTCAACTATCGCAATTGTATAATATATGATTAATAAACATGAACAGAATGTAAGTTTCAAGCGTAGAATCGACAGTATTTGGATATCATTTCGATATGATGGAATTACTCATGGTTTACACCAGCATCTTTTCAGACCTAATAAATATTGACAATAGCCACTGCTACCATGATGATACCATCGGCAGACTAAGCTACACATACCATTGCTGAAACAAACACCGCTGTAGGATGGACATTGAAAATCAGCATTAAGACAAAGTGTCGCTAAAATTATAAAATAAGATACTCAACTTCGTCTTGGTCAATAATAGATTAGAACTTACTAAAACATAGAATCAGAAGAGCAGTCACAAGAATAAACTTAACAAGCCCGTCTGTAATCATTTTTTATATTAATAATTTTAACTTCACAAGTTTGCCTGTTAGTATTGCCAACACCAATCTAGTGTAAAGATATAATACTGCAATCTATTTTTAGCGCGTCATTTTATACCATCAATAAGGGAAAAAAAAAGTACGAAAGGTACGGTTTATTTCGGTATTTATCCCTTCTTACATCATGTTCATCAACCAGCCAATTGCTTATGACTATCATGTATTACATATTGACGTAGGTGACACTATATTTAGTCACTAAAAATACTACGTAGATCATCAATGACGCTGAAAACAACACAAAAAATAAATGAGTCATTATCTAAAAATGATAGAACATGGAAAATGAACACAAGTTCTTATTATATCAGTTTTATTCAAATTTTGTTCGTTTATGTAGTGAAATCCTCACTACTCACAAGGGTCACTGATGTTCAAATCTTGTCGACTGTGTAGACAACACTTTTGCCAGCACACTTAGAAGTTTCCTTTATTTGTGATAAAAGAGAATCTCTGCGAGTAGTCTGAGGACACAAATGCGAAAATCTTCAGCGCTCTATGTAGGGGTGTCATTTTTCTGTTAATATAAAACAAAATATAAACTATAAGAAATTCAATTTATTTTAAATATAAATTATTTGTACCTAATTAATAATTTATTAAATTATAAATTAAATGAAAATAAGTTATTCTATTTCTTTTTCATCTTTCATCCCAATCAGGACAACAAGGGAAAAAGCGCATTGAAATTTCAACGAAAATGAAACTGTAAAAAGTGTACATTTTTACGCTCACAACAGGCTTAAGTTTCTTAACCAACATATATCCGTTGGAAAATCTGGAGAAAAGAAATTGCAGAACGAGAAATTTCAGCCCAAGAATAATTAGCAGGATAACGTCCAGCACCAAAGGAAATCAGCATAAAATATTGAGCTAATTAAATGAGAATGAGCCGTCAACAGCAATGTAATCTAATATAAAATTCAATCACGAAAATAATTAGGGCATGGGAATAGGTTTGGGATGGGAGGGCGTTGTCTGATGTAAGGATGCGAGTCTATTTTTTGGTGATGCTTTTCGTCATCGACACCCATACTCAAACACTTACGCCCAGACCCACATCTACATCTCAGCCTATTAATTTTAACGTCATCCACAGTGCGCATTTGCTACGTAAATATACTGTTGATAACAAAAGGATGTCTTAACTTTGTAAAGAAAAACAAGTTTTTATTATAAATTTTAGCTATTTTCAGCCATTTTGTATGCTCAAATTTATGTCAAAATTTTGACACAGAATAGTTTTTTTATATTTCTTCAACGCAACCTCCTATTATCTTGTAAATTGAAGATACTATACCTGATGGATCGGCACTTGTATACATAGTTTCATTCAAAACCAATGAAATCAAAGCATATAGTTTAACGTTTCACGAAACCTCTATTTTGCATAATATATTGCAGTTTACCTTCAGATACATCTTGATGTCTTCAATTCGAAGCAAACAATATTTTTTCTAATAGAAAAATATGTCATCCAGTAGAGGCGAACCGAGTGAACAAGTTTTCATGAACGAATTTTTTTTTGGAAGGCATTTCAAGAAGAGAGGACTTGGTAAGAATTATCTTTTTCACTGACATGAAATTAGACAGAAAAATTGACTTTTCCAAATTTTGAAAGCTGCGAACGTTCACTCAAATGCATACAACCTGCGAGTTATTGCAACCCCAAACTTCTGGATGTCTTCTCTATAAGCTGACCCTGTAGGGATTTATGAATATTATGAACCCTTTCTGTTTGCTCTATTTTCATTCACACGAACAAACACTCTCACTCATGCCCTGGAGTTCGAAGAAAGCTATGTAATAACAATATAGAACATTGAGAAAGAAAATTCTTCATTCTATCAAGAAGGTAGAAAAGAGCTTCACAGCTCAAGACAAATAGTCGCAGGACACACATTACGTTATTTTGTAGGTACCAGTGTATAACGAGAATATTATCACTGACACTCATGTTGGCTCAGAATAGTTTTAGTGTGAATGTGAATGTGTTCTCAATTAGCATCACTTCACCCGCTTACACCGACATATGTAAACGCGAGTAGTAAGATTTTAATTAGTTTTAAATGGAAGATTTAAATCAAAACTGTTGCTATCATTCGAAAGAAGCTCAGTGGTTCTTTGTGAATCGTAATTCGATGTAATGATGGTCAACTGTCACATTACGTCTACTTGTATTGGGAAATCGACCTGTATTTTTAGCGAGAATTCTGATCGTACGTACCATCTCTCTTGTGAAGAATATCAATGGGATGTTAGCTGCGGGACATAACAACGACTGATGGGAAAAGTTACTGATGACTGTGTTCGACGATGACACATCATTGATAGTCAACAATGCTCGAAAACCTAAACATGCTATCCTTTTCTTAGTCGAGTGCAGGAAGTTGAATGAGTGTGGATATTTAAGACCAATGAGCAAGACAAAAGTTTTCCTATGGTTACGGTCATCAGCAGAAATCCACTCAAAATAATATTAGGGTCATCGGGAAAACTATGGTCCATTGTGTTAGTCCCAATTCTATTTGGGCCTTCCTCACTGTGTTCCCATAAATGGGTGATCCCGCCAGCATATATGCTATTTACTAGTCTTTCTTCTCCATATCAATCAGTTCTTTTCTCACTTTACATCACACAGATCAATATTTCTTATTATTATGGCATTGTCATGTTCACACTTTGTTCATTTTTTTACATATATTTTTTTCGCTTTTTCTCTTGCTATTTAAATCTCATAATGAGCCAACTGTGTCACAGCATATTTTATGTCCGAAAACCGAAATGGTAACGATGGAAAGCTCAGAATGCGTACTTTTCCATTTGTTATTGGATGCTCATTGACTAATGCAAGCAGCTGATTTTGAAATATCACTATTTCATCAGTAACATCTACTGTATAATCTTGATTTTTTTTTTCATTTCTATATCTATCCCAGCATGAGGAAATTATGGTTGGAATGTCAAATAGACCGTCACATTCTTTTGTTGTTGGATTCCATTCGAGGAAATACACGAACATCGGACGATGTGTATCATTGCCCGGTCGTTCTTTCGGTTTTCCTTGTATAATAGACGGATTTGGGGGCGACGATAAGTTTTTTAAAAATACCTTTATATCAGAACCATCAAGATCACGAGGTACAATAATAAACAATTGGTCGTTTTTAAGCTGATATTCTTCAAATTGTCCACGAGTTATTTCCATGTCAATTGGTGTATGACCCTCATCCAACGATCGTATGTTTGCTGCTGTTGGTACAATAAAGTTGTAGAAGTAAGACAAAGCCATACCCATTCCAGCTGATTGTTTTGCTTTTCGCAATTCTCGTTCCAAACGTTGAATTCGAATTTGTTCATCTTCAACCAGAAAAAAATATTTTGTTATAAGAATTAATAGTGCAGTGGCGAACAAAGCATAGCCAACTACTAGCAGGTTTTGTTCGTCTGCTATGACAACAAGAGCAATTCCAATAAGAAGTACAATCAGAGCAGTTGCCATTTTTAATAGATTCATTTTTCGAAACATCGATGGTCCTGTCAGAACTAGCCAGGCACTTAATATTACTAGGATAATGCCGGCAATAAGGAATGCAGCACCAAATGAGCGTAATAAGATATTTTGGCCGACACTAGCAAATAACACTAAGCCAGCTGCTAGAAGTGCAACAAACAGAACAATGTCGAGTAACATTTTAATTTTAATGCGATGTTGACGATCTAGTTGCAGTGGAGTTTTAACTTCGAAGACTGGATTCTGTAGTTCATCGATATCATTGATATATTGAGGCGTTGGTATGAGAGTAGGTAACGATGTCAAATCTCTGAATTGAACTCCGTGATGAGACGACATCGTTAGACGCTTAGAAGAAAAAGTTTTTCAAATCTGAAAAATATGTGTTTCGACTTTCGCATCGTCTTTACTTACACTAAAAATTAATTGGCATAATGTTAGCAATAATACAGAGAAAGCAACACTATTATCGTTAGTGTATTCATGAGAAAGGATCAAATATGCAGATTACTATAATTTCTCCTGAGACAAAACAATGCTGAAAATTCAATAACAAAAATTTTTAGAAAGCCACTACCTTGCCACTCAAAATGAGGAAAAAATCTGACAAAAAACTATTCAATTCGAAAAAAGAAATGTAAGCTCTATCTTTCTGTGTTTAGACAAAAGCGGTTTACTTGTTGTTTAATTCTTTATTAAATAATTATTGCTCGAGAAAAATTCACGAAGCCACTTCAAAGAAGAGTGCTTTTTAGCTACTTTCAAAAATTTATTCATTTTTTTGGCCAAAATATACATTCAATCAAATGAAAACTATACAGGTCAATAGATTAATCAATGGTCTACTCAGTCATATAAAAATAAAGATAATTTTTTTACATTTTGCAGAAATACAGCACATTCAATAAAATTATAAAAATAACGTAAGCAAGCCATACAATAACAAGCATAACGTTCACATCTCAGCTTTCAGCATAACAGTAGACACGAAGGACTCCTACGATAAGGTGAAAAATCTGCCCTCCCCCTTCTCCAAGGTGTGGGTGTACGTGTGCATACAGATGTCAGTATGGATGTAGGATGTGAATGTTTGTGTAGGTGTGTATACGAATGTGGATGATGGTATCGGTATACATTGCCTTCTCATCCATACTCGCATCTGCACCGATGCTCGCACCCAAAAGTCAAATTCACTATGCCAAAAAACGCAGAATTACATCAGCTTTCACCCTGTATATCTTTTAGAAGAATTCTAAGGCGATAGGGTGGATTGGCAGGCATTCAACCTTGACGTGTGGAATCCTTTACTGTGTATACATATATACGACCAAGAAGATTTCGAGTTGAAATAGCGCTACAAGTCAGTGATTCTACATATTTCGTTCATATCTAACTTTCTTCTCCTAACCATTTGTTAAACTTTCGCACTAACTTTTTACGAAACGTGAGTGGTTTCGTAGTATTTATTTTTTGATCTTGATCAACTTGTTTACCTGCTGGCATACTTTCTTCAAGATCGATCGAAAAATTCGGCTGATTACTTTCATTTGTGGAATTTGTTCTAATTGATTTGACCCGAAATGCTGTGTACGGCATTACAAGAACTTCTTTTTCGTTTGGATATTCAGATATTTCCATTATACTTAATGCACTACGCTCAGTCTGTATTTTGTAAGTACAAATTGCAGAATATTTCTGTTGGTTTTTGGCATCACTTTTCAATGCAAATTTCATGGCAACTGAATAGTCGGAAGATGTAGACAAAAACGACTTGTTCATTATCTGTGATCCAACTTCATATTGATCTAAGTCATCCTGAACAACTATCATGCCTCGATAGCATTCACCAATATAAGTCAGTCGATCCAAGTCATGATGCGTAAAAAAAATTTGCAAATAACATTTCATTCCACAACGATTAGCATGACCATTAGTACTTTTAAAATTACCACCAATTATTGCAAGTTGTTTATTTAGATGCTTATAAAAATCAGTTTCAGCTGTATAAGCTTTAATCAAACATATAGGATTCATTTCTTTTATAGCTTGATTAAAGAACTTTTGTATTTTTTCGAGGTCTTTTGATTCTTTAAATTCAGTATCAATGAAATCAGTTTGAACTTCATGCACAAGCCAATCGAGTTTTTGGCCCTCCCACGAGTGTTCCATTATCCAGCGCCATTTTTGCGCTTCCATATGAATATTTTCATCAGCTTTCATCCATTCAATTGAGCCATTGTGACAGACATATCTATCTGTTTCATTGTTACGAAGAAAAAGTTTTTTGATTTCAGGCGTTCTTGATTCAGCTTCCGGTGTATAACCATACGAATTTCTTATCGAACGAGATGCGCCTCGTTCTAATAATAATCTAACTATTTCAGTATGTCCATAATAAGAAGCGACATGCAGAGCTGTACTTCCGTTCTGTTCGATACGGTCTATGTCATCGAGAGTTAATGTTGTAATTAATTCTTTTACTCTAGTTATATCGTTGTTACGACAGGAGGAGTAAAGCTCACTCACGACGGAATTATTTCTTGCCATTTGAATGTTTGACTCAGCTTTAATTGTACTAATTAGTCATTTGAACCAAGCATTCAAACCAATTTATTTGGTATGCGCACGCGTTTTCGTCTATTAAAATATAAAGTATTCATTCTTATTTGCACATGTGAGCTTACATCAGAAATCAAAACGATACCGAATATTCTATAACTTCATTCAAGTCGAACTGCTTCCGATTTAAAGAAAATAGCTTGAAGTGAATCAAATTGTATCGCACCGAAAAGCAAACTGAATCGAAGGGAATTAGGACTAGTGCATTCTGCTCAAAACAATATCAACAATGCAATTACATCTTCTGCTTTTCTTTCCAATGGTCTCAAGGAGTTTTTAGATTTTTTTTCATCCCCATTCTGTCAGATGAACCCTTTTAGCATCACGAACCAGATTGTCACTCAATAGAGCACCAATTAGAACTGATCGACTTCTGTATTCGACTGTATTCAATAATACAAGGCTTCATTGAGAAACATTGCTAAGATGTTGCAACACAGTTACTGTCACCCTTCTTCTCATCGACTTTCTAGCAATCTCATAATAGTGTCCTAAATTTTCGGATACTGGTAAGCTCATATGTGCGTTTAAAGATACTAGTTTTTCTAATGAGGAACATCACAATGTGACAAAAACCTTGTGCGTAGATCTATTTCTATGATATAGCTAATAAAAAGTTAGGAAAAATCGTCTTATCGGAACAGTTCATACTGCTCCTGCGTGGAAAAGCTTAATTTTTACTGCACTTTTCACGCGAAAATGGGATTTCGACCAAAATCTGGCTTCCGATTTTTGATATGAAGTTTTCCACATTAGTATCCCATGGTCACGGTAGAACAATGCCATAGTTTCACGTCAAACAAAATTGTCTTTCTTATGATAACAGATTTTCGAAAAATTCGTTTTTTTTGAATTTACGACTGAATGTTGATAAAGTAATATTTCAAGGAAAAAATCTTTTTTGTGTCACCTGAACTTTTGGCATCGTCTTACTATAACTCTGAGCTATCAATGTAGTAAGTTTCAGGTCAGAATTTGAAAGTCAAATTTGGCAGAAACTCTATTCCTATGGGAAAAACACAATAAAAATTAAGGCTTTCGATGCAGCAGTACAATGGGCCGTACCGACAGAGCAAGTTATTCCTAACGATTTTATGATCTATCTATACATGACACTAGGAGTATTACACTATTCCTTTATCTAGCGACACGTGAATTGTCTCGTGAAATCAGAGCAATTTTAACTTCTTGTTGTCATTATCAACTGACATATATCGTTTGCACAATTAAGAAGTAGTAAGGACAAAGACAAGAAAAAGAAAGTATTAAGAGAACTAAAATGTGTTTCATTTTCTGTTAAATATATATGTTAGTATTATGTTATGACACAAGAAACAGGAGTAGTGAAGGTATGCTGGAATTGATAACATAGCCTAATAAGTGATGTTAGATTTACAATGATTTAAAATGAAGTTCCCCTGAAAAGGTAAACGAAATGCTGCAGAATTAGTGCCAACCTAAAGACTCATAAGATAAAATCAAGGAGATGCTGGGTTTACTTTGGTCTGACCGAAAGTTATGCTAGAAGAAGACAAAGTCGGATGTGCATGGAAAGGAGAAAACTGAAGTCTTTACTTTCTACATTGAGCTAAGAGCAATAAATACTCCTTAACTCCAGATCACCTTCATATAATTCCCCTACAAATTGGGCATAGTCAACTGTCAAGCTGTATTCAGCTTTCTCAAAAACCCACTGTTAAGGATGTAGGATGTTCGAATGTTTCAGTTTCCGTGACGAAGATACTACAATAATATAAAAGAAGTTGAGCAGCAAAAATAAACTGTTATGCAAGCAAAATGTGTGCGGCTCAAGTCTTGTAAAGCGCAAATCTCTTTTTTCATTCTGTTGACATTCTAACTCGCTGCGTAAATTTTAGTGAGTCACACGATGGAGCTTGATCATGGATTTATATTAACAAGGACTGTAGGAGCCTGCACTCTTATACATGCTCTAGCCTAGATCTGAATCCATTCTGAGTCTGTCCACGCAAGCGAAAGCGTTTTGGTTTGCTGTATGTCCATCGACAATACTTATTTGAATATGGCAGTCAGGTTTGAAAAGATTGTTTACAAGCGAAAATATTGCAGACAAACTATTCTCTTCGGACGATGTCGGCGTGTTTAAATAGGTTGGGCCACGTCGAAAACAAACGGCAAAGCAAACTGCTGCGCTAACAGAAAACGAAAAAAGGTAATAAACAATCGGTAAAAAACGAAATTTGGTGCTTGTTCTCTCTCTGCTCTATTAACGGTAGCTAGCAACGCTTTCTTTGCAGAAGCCACAAGTATCGCATCATTAGAAAATAGAGTGTGGGTTATCTCTTCACCCACACTCTCGATCTATAGAAACTAAGCTTGCCTTCACATTTCTGACCTAAAAAAGAGTCTTAAAACTCACAATAGTACTATATGCTAGAAACCACAGCTTTGTTTCTGTAGTCATTATGTTCAAGAGTATGAAAGGTCTGCTAACATAGGTTGCTAGTTGCGACTGCAGACCAAATCATCCAGTAAAATGGGATGCATCATAGCTGACGCTTTGCATAAGAAGTCGACCATCTCAAGCGCAACCACAATGCATGTACCACTTGAAAGATGTAGCGTGTTTCGATGATAAATTACCATGCAATATTAAGATGGTATTCAGCTCCTATGTGGAATAGAAACTAGCATGTTTCGAAACATAATGAAATGCAGGATTGCATGCAGGGCAGGATACAAAAATTTGCCACTGATCCAATATTGAGAAACAAACTCCCTTGTGAAGGATATTAAGCAATAAACTTTCGTCGGGAATAGTATTTTGATCGTCAAATATAAGCTTGTTTATGTGAAAATCTCATCCATCAAATGCATCTAGTACAGTAGTATAAAATGGTGGATGTATGCTCTGTTAAAGTAGCTCGACTCACTAAGACGAGGAGCAAGTAATTGTAGAACGAGCTAGTAGTGCTCAAACAAGTAAGACAACATTGCTGAAGAAAACAGTTAATGATAAGGGATTCATGATTTTCGCCAGATCATTTATAAATTCTTGCTTCATTCCGTGCACTAGACTGAAATATAATTTAATACAGAGAGCAGAAGTATAACCAGAAGAAAGTTATAGGGGGTTTTGCCTTCTAACTACGTCAATTGAAGAGGGCAAAGATCCCTCTGGTCGGGTCTCTAACAGAAAGAAGGAGATTCGTCGATGGAAAAACGTTCGTTTGCGAACAAATTTCTATGATTATTTAAGAATAAGTGTATCTTTTTTTCAAAACCAATCGTGTTATGATCACCGCTTTAGTTTTTGTGTTTTAGAGTAGATTTTTGCAAAAAGCCTAACATAAAGTTTAATGGAGCAAGTTTTTCTCTATCTTTTGAAATATTTCTCGATGTTACACATTGAGATCGATTCAAGAAAACACCGTCACACGGTTTGAAAGTTATTACACGAAAACAATAAAATAAAATGTTTCTCTGAAAAAAAAATTCTTCTTTAGTGCATCCAGGAGAACTTGTGATAGGTACAAGTTAATAAGCTAAAAATTGGAATGTAGACATTTCTAAATACGGGCTTTTGTTGCCACACAGTAAAATAGAAAATAGATTCTAGATAACAGGCAAGAATATTCTAGGAATGCCCATACAAATATCAATAATAAATTTCGGTTTTCCAGTTAGGAAGTCACCATCGTATTTCATTTTCTAGAAAATAAAATACCTAGTGTCACTTTTCATCTTTACAATAAGTTGCTTTTTCTCTGCTATGCTGATCTTACTTATAACTTTGACTCTGCTTATAGGCTAAAAGAGTGTATACAATTTAAAAAAATTAACCGTTACTTGAGATATTATAATTTAGTAATGTCGAAAAGGAAACAAGCTACTCAACAGTCGTTTTTATCTTAGACAGAAGCGGAAAGTCTAATATACTGTTTAAACGATCACATTGGACTTTTTCGCTAAAAAAAAACGGTGGTAAACGGAAAAAACGGTGATCATCACTTTTTTTCGTTTTAACGCTTCAATCACGTTTCAAAGCGTTTATTATATTACATGATTGTTTAAACATTTTTATAAGTCAGTATCTACAAAAGATCCGAAACTCGGCGAGTTACTCGCCTGCTTACTATGCAGATTTTTCTGCATAAATATTAAAATAGATTCGAAATAAAAAAAATAGATAATGAGATCAAAGAAAATAACAATCATGTACATCGATCTAGCAAGAAGAGAAGAATAGATGATAGTTCAATAAATAATTTAGTATATGTAAAAGATTTATTTGGATGTATATTCATTTAATAGCTTTGATATATTTTGTTTTATGTTATTATTTCGTGATGATGGTGGACATAGTAATCAAAAGCTTGAAAGAAAATTGTCGAATTAGGATAGAATTCAAATGTGTTCTGTGTTACTTCCATACTTAATAATTTACTCAACTATTACTCATTCTCCTTCTCCTGTTGGATTTATATAAGTGATAGTTATTCACTTTCTTGTAACATTCTTTTCAATTCACTCCTTGAACGAGGTCGACAATGCATAGCTATTCATTTTCGTCTCATTATCTGTTTTTTGTTTGTTGTGAAACTATTTATATGAATTAATAGTATAAAATGTTTAGAAAGTCAGTGATCAAAAAGAAAACTTTATATTTCGGTCATAGTTCTATAGAATGAGTTGGTTTTTGTGCTAATGATTGAGAACTGTTCGAAGTTTTTATTCAACTGTATGGATATCTAAAATATTCTTATTAGTAACATTTTCTGGTTCAATGCACGAAACAGTCCTATTACGAGATACAAAAGAAATCATATACAGGACTGTTTCTTGAATATTTTTCATTTTGATGTTTATAAAGAAAAAGAAATAGGCTCGAATGACAGAAAAAGCACATTAATAAGATAAAATGCAATAAATTCCACATAGTCCGACAT